GCTTGTGTAAAGTAAACCCCAGAACAGCAAAAAGCTGAAGCTCAGCAGAAGCCAGAAAATGTGTTTTGTTGCACCCATTTTAAGTCATGTAAGACAATATTTTTTGCCTTTTGTCTGACACATGTGATCATTGACTATGACTCCAAAACACCCTTTCATGATATTTCCTTCCAGTTTTTAATTGAAAGCAATTTCAAAGATTGAGAAGTCTGTAGAGACACACTCAAACACTGTGTTTTCATTGCAACTACAATCAGAAATCTTTACAGTGTAAAGGCTGTACATGTACACCACCTTTCCAAACTTCCACTAGAGCTTTTTAAAAGAAAAGGAAAAAAAAGAATAACGTTGTCTTAGTGAAGTTCCCATTAGGTCTCTGTTCCAAATCAAACCCAGTCAAAACAAGTAATACAAATTGGTTTTGCTTCATGGTTTAAAGGCAACTGGAGTTTGCAGAACACTGAAGTTAGGCCTAAGAGGGTCTACATTACAGGAAGGGTAAAAAGTATTTAATACTCCTCTCCCACAAATGTCACAGGAAGTAGACAATAGGAGACATACAAAAATGAGTTGTAGCAAAGAGATTAAGAAAATACCAAAGCATCAGCTGTATAAAACCAATGGTAGCCCATATTTCTCTGAGATACAGAAGGCTGTGGTAATGAGAAAATGAATGAAATGGGCATTAGGCTTCCCACTAGAGCAGTCAGTGTAAAACACGGAGTGCCTCAATCAAGCAGCAGTGATCAGCAGTGGTGTGTGCTGCAGGGTCACGGCTTTCGCCCTCATGTCCTGTTCAGAACCAGGAAGTGATTTTCACCTGAATCAGATACAGATTTAAGACAAGAATCACTCCACTGTAAGCAAAGCTTTAGTGCATGTACTTGGTCTCAGAAAAAGCATTTGGCATTGGCAATCACATGGTCACAGAATGGTCACAGGCTGAGGCAGGAGATTTGAAGCTGTGACACCTGTACCAATTCTGCTGGCATTAAATAAATAACAGATAGAAAAAACTACAAAAGGGCAACAAGGAAACAGCGTGGGGCACTTTGGTATTTTAAAACTAGCACTACTTAATATTGATCAAGACCCAAAAGACTCCAATGTCCACCCTTGTTGTTTGATCAGGTATTTTTACCATTTTCTGCAATGTTGTTCTTTATCAAACACAACCAAACAAAACCACCAACCCACCATGTATTTTTCTTTTGATACAAAATATGCCAATATGGGAAACACCACACAAAGGGTAACCTGAATCTTATTTTACTGTAATCTGGGCTGTCTAGGAGAGAAGACAAATTCTTACTATTTACTAAGAAACTCTAATTTCCTCATTTTTCTACTTTGACATCTCAACCACTGTGTCATGTACTGTACTATAAACAAGGAGCATAGAACTCAAAGACAGAGAGGTTATAGACTACAAACTCTCATTTCTAGAATTACTAAATTACAATTCTACAAAAGGTGTGAATATAAGGAACCTTTTAAGGTCTCACATGTACCATGAACCATGCGAAGAATTTCAGTCAAATCTTCTAAAATACGTGCAATCAACCTCTAAATACTTGATGACCTCCAAATGTACTTTGCAAAGCTCTTAATCAGAAAAGCAATCAAATTCAAATGAAAAAGGAAATAATTGCATGGCATTTTCTCTTCAGAGTGAAAGATGAAGCCAAAGTTTTCGCACCCGTTAGTTGAAACAATGAATGAAAGCACACTGCCATGTCTGATATAAATCACTTGTTCCTTCCCGCTAGAGACAGGAAAAAAGTGTGAATTCCTAATTTTTATAATAAACCTCTAGCTTGCAAGATCAGCCATTGTTTAGCAAAGGTTGGTGAAGTTCTTAAGGCTTCCTCTTACCCTATTCCCTCAAATGTGTCATTTGAATCTCTCTTACCTCACTTACTTTCCAGACATATCTGTATGAAGTTATCCTAGACTGCTAAGAACAGACTCCAAAAAGCCAGGATTATAGGGGATAAGTATGTAATTGGGTACAATTACATACTGAACCAAGGTAACTGCGTACATACTTTAGCACATCACAGATGCAAGTGAATTTAAACCTCAAGGGAAGAGTTTCAATCCCAGATGCACCATTTAACACTGGGGATCAAGGGACCTTGGCAGGCTTGAGAGAGAGGCCGATGGAAACCTCATGAAGTTCAAGAAAGCCATGTACAAAGGCCTACTCCTGGGTTGTGGCAATCCCAGGCACTCCTACAGGCTGGGTGAAGAACTGATTGAGAGCAACCCTGTGGAGAGACTTGGGGGTGGTGATGATTGGTGAAAAACTCAACGTGAGCCATCAGTGTGCACTCGCAGCCCACAAAGCTAAACGTATCCTGGGCTGCACCCACAGGAGGGTGGGCAGCAGGGCAGGGGAGGGATTCTGTCCCTCTGCTCTCGTGGGACTCCACCCAGAGTACTGCAGCCAGCTCTGGGGTCCCCAGCGTAAGAAAGACATAGAACTGTTGAAGCACATCCAGAAAAGGGCCATGGAGTTGATAAGAGGATTGGAGCAAAAAGGAGAAAAGTTTAGGTTAGCTATTAGAAAGAAATTCTTTACTTCAGGGGTGGTAAAATACTGAACAAAATGCCCAGGGAAGCTATGGATGCCCTAAAACTGGCATTGTTCAAGGCCAGGTTTTATAAGGTCTTGAGCAACCTGGTCTAGCGTGAAGTGTCCCTGTTCATGGCAGGGAGGTCGGGACTAGCTGATCCTTAAGGTCCCCTCTAACCCTTAACGATGTAAGATTCTGTGATACCCTAACAGCGTATGTAGTGATGGTAAATCATCTCAAGGGTTGTAGCCTTGACTCCACATCTGAATGAACATTACAGAGCATTGCTGAAGAGGACCAACTAAGGGACTAAAGGCCTCTGGCACAGGGATTGTTGTTGGGGACGGCTCTATGCCCTGGTATCACCAACATTGCAGCGTGTGGTCTCTCTTGTGCGTGTTGACAGTTCAGACAAACATTCTGTTCTCATGTGAGACAAAATATTTTGCCAGAATGCCATTTTTGTAACCAACTTTTCAGAAGGGAAATGGTTCAGTGGAGGCAGTAACCAACACCATGAAAGAGGTGTGCTTAAACTGATATGCTCCATTACCATTTTAGCAGGTTAGATTTCACAAATTATAATCTTAATTTAATTGATCCCAGGATGGTTTTATTTTAAAATCTTGGAATAATCTTTACAGTAATTACTACACAGCTGCAAACACCATGGATAGGATACTTTCTATTGCAATCAGAGTATTTTCACATGTGTAACCTGCCCTGAAGAAAACTGTATGAAATCAAATGCACAGAAGACAGATGAAAAAAATCAGAGGCAGAGAAACTTTCTGGGGAGAGGGAGATTTAAGTAAGGCTCCTTTGCTCCCTCAGATATACTCATGGACATACAAGCTACGCAGCTGCTGGATTACAAGTTTATCTAGCTTTTTCAAAAGATGCTCTGTAGCAGAACTGACAGATCTTTTGTGATTTACAATTTCTGAGTTTTCTTACCTTTATTCTTTACTAAGTTGAGGTACTATTTCCATTCATGCCATTCCAACCTTGCTTTTGGCACACCTCCTTTTTCCTAACACAGGAGTTTCTATGGATAATAAAAGTTTTAGTTTTCAAGAGGGACCAGTAGAATAGGACAAATCTCAGTTTTCAAAAGAAAGAAGTGACAACACAACTTTCTTCAATGAAGTCTATATAAAACAGAGTCTTTAAACATGTTTTATGGCATCAGAAATCATCTATATTTTACTATTTGCATAGGTGGAAGGAATCAGAAATGACCTCGTGGCTCAGGTTTCCAGCTGAACACAGCACTTCAATCCCTTTGTATATAGAAGACACGTTTGAGATTTTTTCCCGTTTTTTTTCCTTCCTTTGTTTTTTTAACTTTTATATATATAGTGGGGTGTGTGTGTGTGTGTGTGTAAGTCTTTGGTCTATAAGCACATTGGTTCTGTCTGCACACACAATACTGTTGAACAGTAGGTTGCATAGAGTCTGTTACCCAAGAACCCTGTCTACTTTTGGCACTGCTGTCACAAATCACAAAATCACAGAAGAGTGTCCTGCAAGAGCTGTATGATCCTTAGCATCCTACATCAAACTTTGATCTAGAGACTGGAAGAAGTATGTATATAATGTTTAAAAAGATGTTTACTTAAGGTGTTATTATGTCTTCCTTGGGACACTATTTGTAAATCTTGGATGAAAAAGGAATGCAAAATTATTTTACAAATGCCCCCTAACTTTATTTGTAGAGGTGATGAAATACTGCTGAGCATCCAAAGGCTGCTGTGAATTATGCTTAGTGAATTTTGCTCAAGTTCTCACACATGTAAAATAAACTAATTTTAGTAATGTATGACATTCTGCCTTCTCTCTCTTCTCCCTGCCAAGGAAGTGGCAATGATTTTGAGAACAATACCTAGACTGAGCTGAGTCCGAGGAAGAAATGAACTTTTCATCTGCTGTTTTTTCCATTACTCCCCTGCTGTCAATCAAGTGAATGTACAAGAAAAATTTCAGGAGTTAAGTCTGGATTCAGAATTGTGCATTTGAAGAAACGCCTTTTTACATGGAATCTCTGCAAAAAGCTAAAATCTGTAGAGGTCAAAAATTGAAAGGCCAAAAAAAAGTAATAAAGAATTTATCCAAAGTGCTGACAACAACACTTTTGGGTATTTACACAACAAATCAAGTCTACTTCTAATGCAATTAACCACCAAATTGGAATTTTAAATTATGATAAAGTAATATCCCACAATTACCACTTTCTTTTTTCCCCTAATTATGTTGGAAAAACAGTAACTGTGATTTGATAGACGATTTCAAAACCAGTACTTTAAAACACAAAGATAGCAAAAATATCTGAAGCAGATCTAAAATCTATAAAGCTATGTTCTATCTTACTGTAAGTAACAAATCAAGCAACTATTACTTATAGCAGATTCAGCAAAACCAACAGGGATGGACAGAAGAGATCTGAGCATGATGCTCTCTGTTACCGAGAATCCAAGACACAAAGTTTGAGAATGGATATTCCCTTTTGTCCAGAAGTTCCCAAAGGAATAAAAAATAAATAAGATTTCAGACAGTACAAGTGAAAATACTGCTCCCATTGTGTCAGTTACATACACATACAGCATGCCTACGTATACAGAATGGTGTGCTGTCTTCATTCACAAACAGGAAATATGGCAGTGCGCTATCAGAATGCTTTGATACTCCTAATTTTTTCTGATGCTGAAATACATGAATAAACCGCATTCACAACTTATAATTTACTTCCAGTAGCAAATAGTTCATTCTGTTTGTGTCTCATGATTGAACTGAAGGATTAATGCTCCTCTGAGGAAGTGGCACCAGTAAGATACCCATTTGTCCCATTGGCACCGCTGGTCCCATTCGTGGTGACAGTGCTGTGCGGGGCCTTTGAGCGAGGTACTGTTTCCTCCTCATCTGAGCTTGACTCAACGTCACTTCGGGAATCCTTTGCTACCTGTAGAATGTGGAAAAGAAGTAGGCAGCAGGTGACTGTAAGGAAACAACTCAGCTCTTTGGTTCAAGAGAATCAGAGAATTCACGTATTTTTTCAAATTGAGTTTTGAAGGCAATTTCAGCTCTGGCACACTTCTCTGCCTTTGCCTGCCTGCACTCACTTCAAACACAGATATCTGCACATACATATGCCATGTGCAAAGGCAGGGTGAGAACTCAGCACTGGTGCACTGAAGGTACTATGGCCAAGTGCTCAAAGCAAAGGGTTTTGCACAGACTGAAGTAAACAACAATCCAAGCTCTCACACTCAACCTAGGCTCAGTCCCTCTGCCCTCCTAACTACACCTATATTTCCTGTCCTTCATTTGGAGTGCTGCTCTTTGACCTGGTAGTACAAAATGTTCAACCCAACTTCCTGCCCCTTACTTCCCAACTCACTGGAGACCACATGGCTCCAAGGAACAGTGTTGTGTGCTCACAGGAGGAGACACGAGTACTGCTTGAAATAAAACTCACCACATCAGGTAACTCCAGTCTCTGACTTCAGACAAGTGGTGAGAATGGCACTTGTAAATGTGGACATAGTCCACTTCAGTCTCTAAAACAGGAATCACAGTTCAACTGTGTGCCCCATTGTGTCACTGGAAAGGTGTTTCAGAAACAGATGGACCTTATATGCTAGGGGTTTCCTGCTAATTTTCAGCTGACTTCTTTGAAAAATCCTGAAAATCTCCAAAACTACCAAGAGTCCACCAGATGTAATACAAAAAAACCCCAGCATCAACAGAAATAGGTCTGGAGTTTAACCTGCATGCAGCTCTAAGGATGCCGTTTTCATGCCTGCTTCTACTCCTGTTTGTATAGCTGAGCATCCCAATTTCTTCACGATCGATCCACAATCGATCTGCTGGTTGCCACAATCAGGTAATAACAGCTGACTTTACTACAGCAAATGGACATAAAAGGGGGCAAACACATGGTGAGTCTTTTTCCTGAAGAACTAGAAATACTTAAAGAACAGGGCCACTGTGTAATTTTTTGCTTACAGTAATCCTCCTTTCCTCTGGAAAGTCTTCATGACAATTCCACTCTCATCTCAGAAAGAGCCATTTGCCTTTGGAGCTCCCAGTGTTGCCCTTGCAATATCACACAGTACCTAAGTGACACTATTCTGCTTGGAACCAGCGAAAAAAGAAAACAGTTCCCATACAGCTCCCAGTAAGTAAAGTTTTTAATGCCAATGTCTAGCAAGCCCACAATTCTGACATCTGTGAAACTGGACTTCAGCTGAGGTCCGAAATTTGGTTACATGCTTTACAGAGCTTCAATTAATGGGTTACTTCCATGTCTTTCATATAAAGGAACTTTTATATTGAGCTGGTGGGGGTACAGAAATACACTTAGAATTATACCCTTATCAGACAGAAGAAAATGGTCTCAGCACACAGTACTGAGCACCTGTGATCTAAGTGATGGCAGACCAGATGACTGAACAATTCTGCTTCAACTTAAATTCTCTTAATAGATTTCCTGCCAATATTTCTGCTAGGGTCCTGCCCCAAAGTCAAATATCAAAATAAGATTCTATGCTGTAGCTAGTTCTGCTAAACATGATCTGCTCCCTTTGTTTTTAAAATGCAGCAACGAAGCAGGGCCTCTGCACTTAAAACCTGATATGAGTGCAACACATCTTGCAGTACTTAGTACTTATCTGTAAGATATCTGTAATGTATTGTGAAAACAGTACTTATTTTTATTGCAGAAATAGAAAGAATGGCATTGCAAGTGAGGAAGTTAAGATCTGAAGGAAAACTAATCCTCTGTATAAATGTCATACATATCCATCTCTAACCTGGTCCCTGTGTTACTGCAAGTGTCTAACTCTGCTTTAACTCTGTACAATCTCAGTTTTCTCCTGTGCAATTGTTAGAACTGCAAGGTGAAGGAATTACAGTCTCAAGTGTGCGTCCTGAATGCTGACAGAGCAGATGCTTATCCTGCTGAGATATATATAAAGTATTGTATACATACACACTCTATCTATCTATCTATCTATCTATCTGTCTATCTATCTATCTATCTATCTACCTCTGTAAAAAACATGAAGCATATTAGCACCACAGATAGAAGTGGGTTTGAATGGTTTTAGGTGATGCATAGCCAAGAAGTAAAAAATAGCCTTTCAAGATAGTCTTTACTTAAATATATAAATACAAACAATGGATAAATACCAAGCAGAAACTACAAACTAAAAGAACCAAACCAGCCCAAACCATAAACACCAGTGTTGTCAGAATAAATCTTTTGCATAGTAAATTTAAAGAAACTTACGTGCAAGGGGTTCCACTTCCCAGCCTTCCAGCACAGCACAAGGGAAAGGATAAACAAGCAGAGTAAGAGAGGAGGAAGCAGTCTTTGAAGTCACTGGTATAATTCAGACAGGACAGCTGAGGCTAATAATTTCTAAAAGCAGAGCAGACTAAAGCACGCCTTCCAGGCAAAATACAGCTCGTGAATGCACTGTGTCACAGATGGAGTGGCACATTCTGGGCTCTGCCAGTGCACTGCTGAGCTCTCCAGTACATTCATAGACAGCAATTTTATGGAGAACAATCCCATTCACTTTGGGGTCAGTCACATCAATGTGCTCTGCTTTTTAAGGGCAAAGTATCCTGACTTTACATGATCTGTAAGGATTAATTCTACCAACTGCACATAAGGCCTGTGTCTGCCCAGCAACTGTAATGTACTTCTGGGAGAGACATCTTCCTGTCAAATGTACCACTGGCAGCAAGACACTAAAGTCTAGCCCAAAAAGTCTTGCTCTGGGAATACTAGAAAGAAAACACAGAGCTCTTTGCAATACCTCATTAATACCAAAACCCAGAAGAGGCTGTGATCAGTAATTTTGCCACTAGCAAACAGCAGAATTTCATTTTGTATTATTATTGCTTCATTTCACTTCCAGCTGTGAAATGAACATTTTGCTAACAACTACTATAAAGAAGAAAAACAGAACTGGCAGCCTCAAGAAAACAGTTTACTTGGGTTTCTTTAACCTGATTTCCCTAAGGTAGTTTAGTTCTGTGTACTACATTGTAAAAAGGAAGTGCAGAAGCACATATAAAGACAATCACTATACAGAGTATATTAACTTATCTGACAATCATGAGGAGTGGGAAAAAGTTTCCAGGAAAGGAAAGAAGATCTAAAACAAGATGTGTCTCCAGTAGCATATTATGGATTAGGAAAAAAAAACCAAACCCAAACAAAAAGCGACCTCTATTGAAAATAGAAAACTTAAAATCATTAAACAGAACTGTGTTGTCTTACCTTGCCCTTTGAAATAGCTTTGTAGGCTGCCTTTATGATTAGGTAAGACCAAAAACAGTGCAGAATTTGAAGAACCATAAGCAGCACATTGAAGACCCACAAGGCAGGAAAATTGCCCAGAGCTTCATACAGTTCAAACAACGTTGTATTTAATATCCTAGAAAAAAATGGGACAGAAAAACAATAACACTTTCCTTAAGCCAACAATCTTAAAGAAGTTATTTTTAAATCAAAATGACAAGTACTTCATTAGATGGGATCCACATGGACAGCTGGTTTTCAAAGTAATAGTGACTTGGACTGAATCACACAGGTTTGTTTTGTTGTTTTCTCCAGAGAGAAACAACATCAAAATGTTGCTTTCAATATTTAACTTGATTTGTAAACATTGCATACAGAAAATAAAGATCTTCAGTGTGCATTTCTTCTCTCCATCTATACAGCTAGCAGGTGTTGATTGACTCAAATAACTCCTTCCCTGATTGATAATAAAAATTACTGGCTCCCATATTAGCCATTGTTCTGCACCAAATCTGATTTGCATACCACTTATGTACAACCAAGAGTGAGGCTTGGGCAGTTACATCCAGGACAGGGACAATGGGACAGTGAGGGGAGACCTTATTGCAGCCTTTTGGTACTTAAAGGGGGCTTATAAAAACATGGGGACAAACTTTTTAGTAGGGCCTGTTGAGATAAAACAATGGCTAATGGTTTTAAGCTAAAAGAGGGTAGATTTAGACTAGATCTAAAGAAGAGGATGTTTACAATGAGAGTGGTAAAACACTGGAACAGGTTGCTCAGAGATGTTGTAGACTCCCCATCCCTGCAAACATTCAAGGTCAGGTTGGACAGGGCTCTGAGGAAGCTGATCTAGATGAAGATGTCCCTGCTCGTTGCAGGGGGGTTGGGCTAAATGACATTTAAAGATCCCTTGCAATCCAAATCATTCTATGACTCTAAGAAATTCAGGCAGTTCTACACATTTGAAACAAATTTTTGAGAACCAGCATTTCAGATGCAGGCAGTAAACTGCTGTTACAATGAATTCTGAAGCTTTAACAGCACTTTCTGCTCAAATACTCTGCCACAGCAGGTGAGTTCAATCTCTCTTAGCAAACAGCCTGAGAGCAGAGTGGAGAACAGTCAACAGAAACAATGGCATTTTAAAACCAAATAATGATCTAGGAATCTCTGTTAATTAGGGGGAGAAAAATAAGGCAATATAAAGATTTGTCAAACTTCATCCGCTTTCCCTGCTGATGCAGAAATCCATTAAAAACTCCACTGCCTTGCTGCTCCTCGTTTTCCATCCACCATCCCCGCGAGTCACTAGATGGCGCGTTCAGCCCGGCCGGCACCGGGACCCCGCACGGGCTCCAGGGCAGCGCACAGCTCCGCGGAGAACTTCTCCATCTCAGCTTTTTAATAAACAACAGCATTTGCCACAGCCCTTTCCAGCAACGTAAAACCAGTTTAAGTAGTACCAGTATGATATATGTACAGACAACAAATCCGGAATACAACATTTAGTGGTAATGACACACGCCCAATGAGTGTAACTCCATTGATCAAAAATCAACCAGTGATTTCTGATACACTGGACTTAATACCGTAGGGGTATTTCATAGTACTTCTACCTTTTCATTTTTGCCTTCTTACAGAAGTTGAATTTTTATAACCTTCCTACACAGCTGTGTTTTTGCACTGTCTTGTGTTTATGGTGTGAACACCAGAAAATGTTTTCCAGTTTGTAAAAACCATCATATTATTGCTTCTGTCAGGTAGAACTCTTCAGTCTCAGCTTTGTGCAATTTGTTCTGCCAGTGGTAGCTACATTTGTCACAGTAACACCCCACTTTACAGTTCAAGGGGACACTCTCATCATATCAAAACAGACGTGGAGTCAGCGCTGCTCAACTTCACCAATGCTTACTGCAGTTCTAACCATTATATCAAATTCAAACTTGAAATCAACAAGTCCTGTATCTAAAGTTACCATTGTTTACACTCAACTGTCTCTATGTCTAAAACTTTAAATGCCACAGAATTGTAAATGAAGCTTCTGCAGGTTTCTGTTTATATTTTATTAACTGGGCCAAATTAATCTCAGGGGACTTCCACGGAAGTCAAGTAAAAAAAGCAGCACTAGAGATGAGTTAGTCTGCTCTTGCAGAAGTCAGGAAGAAAGCAAGGCCAAAAAGAGCGCTTTTGGTATCAAGAACAGTCTCATGTGCAAATGACTCATATATTGTGTTATTTGATAGGGAAATAAGCCTCAATGAAAAATAAGAGTACTTTCTAATCTGTTATGTCTGGCAAACTAAGGACAAGATGGGAATTCTCTATTAAAACTGCAAAAATAATCTCATTAATTACCCAGCAATGCTAAGAGGGTTCAGTGGTCTGATGTGCAGGCTAGGTGTTCACATGGAGCTAAGGCTATGTCTAAGCACTACAGAGCAGAAGCTGAGTGAAAAATATAGAAAACTACAGAAAAAATCCAAGTAAGCAAATAAACTCTCAAAATAAATAAATAATTTCATATTAAAAGTCTGAAATGGGGAAAAATTCAAAAGGTTATGAGTCAGAATATACAGAGAAATTCTACTTGTAGAGACTGAGGAAGAAAGAGGTTAGCCCACTTTCCATCAAGTTCACTGCTTCAAGTATTCAATGGAAGCATTTTAATCAACTACATAAATAATGGGGACTGGAAATAGCAGCATGAAAATAGATTACATGGAGGAGAAAGTGCCCATAAGATGTATATGCAAATAAATCTTAGATTCAAATACTCAGAAAAGCACTTATATCTGTAAATACACTTACTGGGACTTTTCAAAGCTCTCCAGTGATTAAATCCCAGCTTTTCATAATGAATAGTGAAAACTTTGATTTTTGGGTATCTGACTTGAAGCAGCTGGTCTTGATCTCACAGGGGAAAATTACTTTAAGCTGCAAGTGCTCTACCTTTCTGAAAACTTTTGTCAGCATTTTTCAGATCTTTGCAATTTGAAGTTAAATGTTATCTTCTGCTTTTGAAAATAATTTCTGGACTGTTTTTTTTTTTTTTCTGAGCCCCTGGAAGATTTTGATAGCTGGAGAACATGACACAATTTCATGGAAGGTATTCTTCCCTCATTAAATGTATCCCAAGGAGGGTTGTGCACCTGGCTGTGTGAAGCCAGTTTAGCATCTTGAATTAAGCAGTATGGCTGATGAAAGCAAATAAAATAAATTCACCACTTAAGATCCAATCTACTCTTACAGAAATCTGTGGTATTTTTCAGGAACCCTGCCACAATATCTGAGCCACTAGGAGAGATAATCCTGTACTTACTGTACTACCACTCTAATTAAACACTCAGAATAAAATGAACACATTTTCAACAACTACTAAACAATCACCTGCAACACACCAGCAGTAACACAGGTTTTTCCTCTAGTCTCTGGCTCTTTATCTAGCCAGCAAAGCAGTACTTGGGACACTAGAGGTAACAGATCCACACTGACTTATTAACATTACACTCCCCTCCCACAAATCAGTGGGCCCAAATCCAGGCTCTTGGGCATCAGCTACTAATTCTTGGCAAGTTGATCCCTTGTCTTGCACCAAGGATGAAAGGAAAACCTGGAGATTAAGGGAGTTAAAGAAAGAGAGGAATGCATGGAAGAGTAAAATCCTTATCTATATTGTCTGAGAACTGACAAAAATGTTCTGTGTTTGCTTCTGAAAGGATCCTGAGAGAAATGAAAAGGGGTGAAAAGGAGGATCATGTGAAAGGAGTAGGTATTCTTCCAGACAAGCAAGAAATTAGTGATAAACTCTGAAGAATGATGCATAGCTGGATGATGGGCACTATTATCACATCCAATGGGAGCAGTAACTGTGCAGCTGAAATTAGTGCTACTGCAAGTTGCCTTCCCTTCTGCAGCAATGTCCACTGCCCAACATATTCTGCTGCAACATGCTGAATTAAAGTCACCTTGTTAACACAGCACAATAGATGGAATTCTCAGACATGACCAAGGACAGCACAATACTATCCAGCTTGTCTAAATAATTCAGAATAAATGTCTTTATCCCCATTATGTGTATAATAGACAACAATACCCAATACTGCATCATATCACCTGTACTGGGATACCTTTCAATACTGCATACATTACCAAGAAAATACATAATTACATTTATGTAATTATGTAGTTACATTAATTATCCCATTTAGTGCAAGTAACTCAACAGTAGTCCTACCAGCAACACTTCAATATTTCTGCCCCTTTTAAAAATTTTTCCTTTAAAAAACCAAACAATTGTACTTACTTCTGCCACCAAAACACAGTAGTTTATTCTTCATTGTATTGGGTAAAAAGTGACTATGACCAGAGAATAAAGAGTCAGGAGTTCTAAACTGTGGATTTAGCTGTTATATTAACTTAAGTGATCTAAGAATTTTTCAAATTTCTTTACACAGTTCATTTTTTGTTAAACATGGGAACAAAGTACTGGCACACCCTGTTGGCCACGTAAAGATGCTGTGAGAATTATTAGCATGTTTTATAAAACACTGTGGACTACTTCCTTAACAGATGCCATAGACCTGATAGGTAGAAAAAAATGTTACTGAGATTCACAGAGAAATGAAGAGCAGTGGAGTGTGAGAGTACATGTATGTGCACATGTTGATCAGCCACAGGATGATAATCAGATACCTTTCATCAGTGGTCAATATTCACCTCTAGGATTTAGACCTTGATTGAATCTAACAGGACTGCACATCCCAGTCTGTCCTAGTTACTTTTAATGACAGTGCTACATAAAAGACCTTACACACAGATGTTTCTGCATGAAACTTCAAATGAGTTAAACAACTTTTAACCTGAGAAGTGTATGTAATCATACACGAAACAGTCATCAATTTCAGGAAACTTTGGTTTATAGCACTCCATGTACCAGAGTCCTCAAGCTGAAGTGAAGTTAAATATTTAATTATAGCAAATCCAGTACATAAAGGGCTATACTGCCAAGTTTTTCATCTGAGTTTCAGCTTGGCCAGCTGCTGTGTCTACATCACTGTTCTGCTTCTTGGTTCTTGCTGAGTGGGAGAACAAGCTTGTTTCCCTCTTCAGATCCTGCTGTCTCTTACATTTTCA